TCCGGAGTCCGACCAAAAGCGGCCCTCAACCACCCACCTTCTTCTGTGGATCTTCTCCAAAAAGAAAGTGCTACTAGCTGTATTATTTTGGTAGTAGCAGTTTCTTTTTGAATCAAATCGCATCCAACTCCAGAAGGAACATCCGTCCATGTTAATCCCTCCGGCTGGCAACTGACACAATAGGGTTTTACAACTTATGAACTAATAATAAAAAAATGCTTACTTCATTTCTAAACTGCTTCTTTTGGAACCGTGGCTTCTAATATTTCCAGTACGTAGTATAGACACTACCGGTGTAATGCCATTCCGAATGCAGAAATAGCTAAAAAAAATTCGCGTCTAAAATTTGTCGCGAGATCCTCTGAATGAATGTATGACCTGTCTCGAGGTCATAAGACGACATTCACCTGATTGGCTGATGCAAATCAATTGCCCGGATAACTTATTTATACACTTTAAAGTACTTTTTGAAAACGTAACAGTGAAAAATATCGATTTATGTAAATCAAAAAAAAAATGGTAGCCGGATTATTTTGTCGGCTTACAGTACCTGTGATTTTCGGAGACTAATTGCCGGCAAAATATGAAGTTTATTTAATAAAAATATCTTTTTTTTTTTTTGTTTTTAGCGAATGAAAATGTAAGGAAATAAAGATTAAAATAAATATACAATACCATTAAAATATAATATACAATTAATTTTTTTGTTCATAATCTAGCTAACAAACTTATGACCTTAGGAATTGTAGAAAAAATCTTTATACATAACTAAATAACACAAATAAAAAGATATACTGTATTTATTTTAAATGTTAAAATCTTTTGTATTCACAGCTAAATTAATAGTAATAAACAATATAATTTCATGAACTTAAATAGCTTATTTAAAAGATCGATCAAAATCTTTATACTTAATTAAATTAATATGAATAAACAAATAGTATTCAGAATCGAAAATCGACTAGTCTTTTTTTTTTTTAAAAAAAAAAAAAATTCTAATTTGACGCTACAAGTGTATACTCACTAAATTAATGTGAATCACTTATTTAATTAATTAGCCAAATTAACATGAATCGATATGAGGCACTGAACAATTATACATAATTTTAGCAATATAACTATCATGTTTGGTTCAAGTTATATTTTTGTGAATTCAACACGGCAAAAAATTCTCAAAGTAAAAAATAAAAGTCAAAGCAAAAGGAAAGTTCAAAGTCACAACGAAAATTAAAACGAGAGTCAAAGTGAAAATCAAGGTAAAATTCAAAACGAAAATCGAAGCAAAGGCTAATAAAAGCCAAAACAACAAACAAAAATCAAGTAATACCATAACGTTTAAGCATGATAAACATTATTTTACTGGCAATCAGTTTTCTAAGTCATATGTAACCAGAAAAAAATCCGGATACCATTATTTCTGGGCGACGCTATGTAAGTCTCGAAAATCATGTGATGTTGTCAATTCATCATGATTAGCATCCTGATAATAATATTTATTAAAATATTAACATAATTGATTTAGTAATTTTTTTCTTCGATTCTTCAAAGTGAAAAGCAATCATTAAAAGCATAAAATCCAATAAACACACTATTCTAAAAACCTACATTGATTGCCGTAACCAATTTCCGCTAATAATAAACGAAAATCGAAATAAAATTATAAAAAATTAATCAAGAAAATGCAATTGCATCAGAAAGCCTTGTAGATTTTATTTTTAATGTTCTTCCGGAAGATTATAACTCTGATTATTTATTTGAATCCAGGACGCAGCAACAAAAAATTATTAAAGAAAACATAATGAATCCAAATGCGTAGTAACAAATAGCTTGATAGTATTAATAAAAATTTTGTATCATTGCATAAATTAGAAGATTATAATTATTTAAAAAGGCAATGGAATCTTCCAAAATACTTAGAAAAACCGTAATCATAATACGTACTGCACTGCACTGCCTTTAGTACCCGGGTCTTATAAAAAAAGAGTATTATACATGGGGATTTACGTACTTATTTATGCCGGTAATACAACCCAAAAAAGAAAAAAGTAAGTAAAAGCGGTTAATGTATTACGCAAAAATACGGTATTTTTTGAATCGCTAAAACTTTTTATAGAAAAGATTATAAAAAAGTTAGAGATTTGGGTATTATTACGCGAAAGTACATTAAGTTAATTTTATACTATGTATATATCATTATTACATATCATAAAAGAACAGAGATCTTATGTGGGTTGATCAGAATCGGTCGGATAAAATCTTATTGGGTGTTAAAGTACAATTGTTAATTAAAATTTAAGGTTAACGGTAAAACCTTCTCTTTAACTAAAGTCGGATATTTTTTCGAGCACAATATCTTTTATCGTTACATAATTTATTTGTTTATACTGTATAATATATATATATTTATATATAATAGGCTATTAAGTCATAAATAACATGACTCGTGAGTTAGATTAAAAATAAATATCGATATATCGATATGTACTACATAATGTTATTATTGATTAAAAAAAAAAAATTTTTTTAATTAGACCAAAATTATCTACTTATCTTTGAAATCAACAAAGTTATGACAAAAAAAGAAAACATTAAAATAGTTAATGTTACCATTTAAATAAAGCTGATTTGGCAAAAAGGATTCGAATCTTCATACAATATAAAGCACATGGCCAAATCATAGGTGTGTACAAATATTGCATATTAATAATATTATCGATATATAAATTTATGATTGGCGCTTATGAAGCTCCCTAAAGTCCGCAGCTACTCCCTCCTTTTTAAAATGCATGGCTTATAGTCATCATCGACATACTGCACTATTTCTCATACATTGACCAAGACATCGATAAATTTCGAAATATTAGTAATCTCTGAAAAGACGAATTTTTGATTATATGTAAAGGATGTCTTCTTCACAAAACATTCAGAGAGGATCTAACAAATCTGATCAACGTGTGAAAATTGATGAAAGATCGCCATTAATTCCAGAAACTAACGTTGGCCTCGGCATCCGACTGAATGATATAATTGAAATAAAAACTTTTAACGCTCGTGAAGCAATTTATCTTCTCAAAAAGGCATTTCCTGCTCTTTTTGCGTTTTTGTTTCTACAAGCTTTACAAGTTACCAATGTATTTTTTGTGGGACATCTGGTAAGATTTAATAAAATAATAAAAAAACCAATAAAAAGTCGATTGTAAGGATTATTATATTAATTATATGCAATCTTGCCTTAAAACTGCAAAAGGGGCAGGCGGAATTAGCTGGCCTCGCTTTAGGAACTATGGTAAATTAAAAATAATATTTGATAACGAAAGCAATTTATAGTTATGCATATTAATAATTTATTAGTATGCTGCGGTTACTTGTTGGTCAATAGGATTTGGCGCAACTTCGGCGTTGGATACACTTTGTCCACAGGGTTATACGTCAGGAAACCCGAAAATGGCTGGTATTTACACGCAACGAGCAATTATAATTATGATGCTTGGATTCATACCTATAGGAATTATTTGGTTGGTATCTGAAAATATTTTGATTGGTTTGGGACAAGATGCTGAATTATCGCATTATGCTGCGTTATATCTACGTTATTTACTTTTGGGAGCACCACCGGCCCTTATTTTTTGGTGCTTAGAAAAGTTTTTGCAAGGTCAAGGTAAAAAATAATTTTTTTTTTTTTTTGAATTCTTTATAATAATTCATAAGTTTATATTTTATGATTCAATTTTCTTTCGTTGTTAGGTATCATGAAAGCAACAACCTATGTTCTTATAATATGTTGTCCAATAAATATTTTCCTCAACTATATTTTTATTTGGGAGCCATTTTCACTTGGTTTCATTGGCGCGCCAATTGCTACTACATTAACCAATTGGTTAATGTTATTTCTCACTTTCCTTTATATAAAACACATTGATGGATATGATGCTTGGGTAGGATGGACACATTTAAGCTTCAAAGATTGGTCATCATTCATGAAACTTGCATTACCAGGGATGTTAACATCATGCGCTGATTGGTGGATTTATGAACTTATTGCATTATTCGCAGGTTATTTTGGAAGTGTATCTTTAGCAAGTCATCGATTAATTCTTACAATTGCGCTGATATTATATCAGATACCACATAGTTTAGCTGTAGCAGCTTCAAACAGAGTTGGTAATTTACTGGGTGCCGGTCTACCAAATAGAGCGATAATAGCTACAAATACATCACTATTACTTGCTGTCATAGGTGCTGCATGCAATGCAATGGTATTACTTTACTTTAGGGAGTCTTTAGGGTAAACGTCTTTTTTTAAAATATACACACATATATATATGTCTATCTAACAATGGTATTTTATTTGTTTGATAACATATTTTTAGATATTTCTTTACTCATGACGAAGATGTTGTAAAAATGGTAGCATCAATTTTACCATTAGCTGCTATATTTCAGGTACATTTACTTATCTCTCCTATATATTTAGCAATACAAAATTTAATATGTTAACTAATTATTTATACAAATATAGCTTTCTGATAGTGTTGGTAACATAGGTAGTGGCGTTCTTCGCGGGCAAGGTCGATTAAAAACGGTTGCCGCAATATTTCTTCCAGCCTTTTATTTAATTGGTTTACCTTTAGGTCTTATGTTTGCATTTGAATTTAATATGGGTTTAAAAGGACTTTGGTCAGGCGTTACTTGTGCTTCTATAAGTATGGCCATCGGAATATTTTTAGCTGTATCGATGACTGATTGGAGTTGGGAAGTTGAAGAATGTCATCGAAGAGTTAAAAATGAATTAATTGATGATATTGATGATGATTTATAATTTATTCATCGATTAAAAAAATTAAATAAGTATTCATGTAAAGACATTGATTAGATGCTGATTATGATTGTTAACTTATTAAATTTCATATAATATGATAAGTAATTATAACTACCGTAGTACGTATATAAAAAACTTATTTCGAATATCGCAACTTCCTAATTGCGTGATCTTTTGAATACTCTTTCTGTTTCGATACCCATGTAACAAATTTTATTACGCCTTCATGTTCCAATAATTTATCCACAGTATTGTATTCATAGGCCATTTTTTCGTGAGAAATCATTTTATGACAAGCACTGTGACAAGGTCTACAAATGTTTGTACCTCTTGTCAAACATTCTTCTTTAGTAAATAGACCTTTTTTCACTACTCTTTTATGCATTACACGAGGAATTAAATGATGAAATGTAAGTGGCATATGTCTATAGCATAGTTCACATGTTCCAGGTTCATGAGATTCCTCTTCTTCTTCTTCTTCTTCTTCTTCGTCGTCGTCGCTTTCCTCATCATCCTCTTGTTGCGTAACAACCGAAGTAGGGTTAAAAGTAGTTTTAAATCTTGTAATTAAGGATTGACAAATTTCTAAACACTCTTGTTCATTTTGACAAACTTCAAATGTTAAAAAATCATCCTTTACGACATCATAAATTTTTTCAACAACTTCTTTTTCTGATAAAGGTTTAATTGCCTTATCAGATTTATCAGATTTAGCTGATTCAGATTCAGAGTTATCTACAAGAATTAGCGATAAAATATCTAAATCCCAAACTTGCTCGGCTAGATATTCTACAAAATCATTGTCCGAAGCAATTATGTCCGGATTATGATTGCATAATACTTGATAAAATGTGGTACGAAATAAACCAAGTTTTTTTTGAGTTTGTATTTTAAATTTATTAGCTTTAGAAGGTATGGATTTTGAACGATGTTTAACAGTGAAAGCTGCCTGCATTATTATCTAAAAGTTAATTTATAAGAGTAAGAAGTTTTGATTCATTTAATTATGTACGTATATATATGTAAAACTAAGAAATCTTAGTATCACAACTTAACGTTACATTAGTTCTGCGTATTTTTTACCAAAAATTCTGAATCATTGTGATCTGCGATATCAATAATCAAAATTTCCCAAAGTCCATTAAACAAATGTCTGCGCAATTCTGAAATCGGATAAAGTGACAAATTCTCTCTAAAGCTTGGTCCCAAAAAATTTGTATTTTTTTACAGCTTGTCTATTTTAATTTGTTACACTTGATACTAAGTAAATATATATATATGTATATATTGATTTGTTTAGAGTTATATAGTAATTTTATTAATATTTTATAATGTATAGTATTGCTATCAAATTGTAATATATTAATATTATAGCAACTTAAATGTTAATTTATTCTTACATAATATTCTACTGTAGCTGTATATAACTATACTAAGTATGCAGAAAATGAGAGGCACAGATGGATGTGTAGACACAAACCTCATTATGTATTATTCTGATAACACGAGTTTGTGATAGGAAGTATATTTATGAGTATTGAAAAATCTAATATATATCTTTTTCGTGCCAGTTCGACGATGCCTTTGAAGGTATCTGCAGTGTTTATGAAATATATAAATAATAAAAAAAATAAAAAAGTAATAAATAACAACATATCTGAATCAGATTTATCAAAGCAATCAGTAATGAATCTATCAGTCTTTTATGAGACCCAAACAGCAAATGCAAGCTCAGACACCTTTCAATATATAATACAAAATCTAGGTAATAACTTTATTGAAAATTGTCATGATGTTAACATAAACGCTTTACTGTCAAGTTTTCTCATAATAGTACATGGAAGGAAAGAGAGGTGTTATAGCAGAGATTACTAAAGAAATTCATGATTCTTAGGTGATATTTGGCGAAATTAGCCTTTGATGCAGAGTGGAGGTACATATATAATAATTCCTCTTATCCGAACTGTGTCTTCTATATAAGAACATTTTATAGGGTCCTGACGGTGTGATTATACAGGAGTGTGACTGTATTTAAGAAGTTTAATACTATAATGTTTTTAATAAAATATATATATTGAGTTATAATATTTTTTTGTTTGTATTAAATGTAATAACACGTTTATTAATATTTTAATTTAGTTATACCGACACAGCATAAAATAATAATTTTGCGGTATCACGGATAATCTACAAATATCAATGAAGGCTTTCTATACAGTGACGAAGAATTTAATTGAGATAAATATATTTATGGACTTTGAATTACAAACAGAGAGGTCGCGCTTGAGCCACTGGGCTTTAGTAATATCTAAAATAACACTACCGCTACAGCACTAGTGGTATCGTGATACCAAATCCGACCGAAATTGTGTTATTTTAATTTTATCGCTATATGTCTATAAAATAAAAATAAAACCCAATTTCGGTCGAATTTGGTTATGTCGCAATATCACCAAAATCCGGTGGCTCTGGAACGTACGTGTGCGATGGAGAATTTTTATGCATGTATTGTAGTACGAAAGCGACATTATATACACGCTTTGACGTTAAAAAAAACTTTAAATAATTAAATAAATATAGAATATATATTTAATTTTTTTCTTTTTAAGTTCTGAGGGTACCTGCGAGTGTCCTCTTATTGCTGTATTGTAATACTTACCCGATTCACTCTGACGTAATTTTTGAACGAGTCCAATCTTTGTATTTTCCGGTCCAGAGTTTTAAAATTAAAATTTTATAATTTAATAATTTTATAGTAATTTAAAAAAAGTTTTATGCATACGCACAATTTGGCAGCATTATTCTTTGAAATATTGAACGTATATGCGCGTATGAATCTATAAGTAATTGGTTATTGGAATCTGATAGGTGTTCCCAAGCAACAAAGACTATGTTACATTTAATCTAGCGATTTATCTTTGTAACTTGATTGGATATCAGCCTATCAACTTTCAGAGAATACAATAGCTAAATAAACAAGTTGTGTATAAGAAATAGTTTAAGATCTCTAGTGCCCGGGAATGTGCATACCGGACACTCCCACAAGGTAGGTACATAATTGTTAACCCTCGTCTTACATCTTACCTGTTAACATGCATATAATTGAATATATTGGAATCTGTTCCAGTTAAAAATCAAAATTTTTAAAAGGAAGTTCATTTGCATGCAATCAAGATTTTTTTCACTATTACGGAAAGTTGTGATGGGTGATCATTTTTCGGTATCCTTACACAAATATCAATAAATCAATAAAAATTTAAAATTTCCTTGTACTAAATATTTGAAGTGAAGTGCACGCACACACCGTAAAACATTAATACATACAAATACGTACTTAATATCTTTAACGCTCTTATATTATCATTATAACTCACGCGTGAATCAACCATTATTACAATACCTTGAATTCTTTTTCTGCCTTTGAACTGGTATGTAATGATTCGGATTTAAATTAGTATACTGCCGATTTATGTTTACTGACTGTATTTTCTATATTAGCTTATATAAGGGTCGAAAAAACAATCGCAAGTTTTACTGTCTTTATTACCTTAAACAACTCTTTAATGCTCGACTTAACTAGCGTAATTCGAACGTGTAGCATAGATTTAGACTTCTATTTTTAAGCTTTCTTTATTTCGTTATTATATACCTAAAGTGTGTGCATATAGGACTTTTTTAACGGGAATACCAATATATATATCCATCACATATACTTTGTTTAATTCAATTTATCGATTTTAAGATGGATACTAGATCTTTACCTCCGGAATTCCATTCTAAATTAGCTGAGCTGAAAAAAGCATTAGACGATGAATATATAACAAAGAAAGGTTTCGAAAAAGAAAAGAATGCATTACTAGAAAAGTATAAAGATTTTATTCCTGTCGAAAACAATATTGCAAAGTCGACGTCTTTCATGTCTACTTCTAATTCAGCATCGTCTGATTATAACGGAGGAGTGTCACATGATAACGGAAATAATTTACAAAATTCGTACGCTACGAATGGAGATATTAATTTACAACCTTATAGATCAGAGGATATGAACAATAATAACCCCAAACATAACCTTTATTTGAATGGTGAAGAAATTTCTTACTCTTCTAATCAGGATTTTACTTCATTTGGGTATCAGAATCAGCATCGTCATTCAAGCAATATAGTAATGCCTTCACATACAAGCGTACATTCTCATCTTCGTACTCATAGTGTCGATGCAATAGATACTTCTAATCCGAGACCTGTTTTGGTGTCTCGAAAAACTGATTCTCAACAATTGAACGGTTCCAATTTAAATTTTATGACGCCACCTATACCTCCATCTTTAGATTCTAACCTTTCACGATGGGGAAGTAATTCATTACCACCTACACCAGGGTATATGCACATACAACCACAACATGGTTATAATTCTTCATTACCATATCATCCTTCACCAATCGGTTTTGGATCTGGTGTGCATCGACCAGGGAGACCTAGACCACCATTACCACCACCACCATATACAATTCCTTACCAAAATAATGGTATGTATGGTACAATGCCTCGACCAATGCCAGGGCCACATGTTATCAGACCTCAACCACGACCAGTGCAACCTATTCGACCACCTTTTAATGGTGATATTCCATTGGTCGGGAGGACGCAAAAACTTATTAACGAAGAACTAGAAATGGGAAGGCCAAGTTTTGAAGGTAATAATAATAATATTTAAGATTTTTTAACTTAATTACAGTACTATAATTATTTTATTATATATGACTATATTAATTAATTATTATTAATTATTTATTGTATGTTCAATTTCAAGATGATAATGCATCAATTAGATCTAGTAAATCATATGCTTTTAGGTTGGATGGTTCAACAAACCAAAACATACCTAATGATGAAAGATTCATTAAACCCGGTGATATACCTAAAAGAAGTAATTTCTTGTTTATATATATATATATAATATATGTATTCTAATTAATAATAATATGGAAATAATAATAATAATTTTATAATATTTATAACAAGATAATGATAGATTTTCGTTATACAATCATCCCGTATATTCTGATGCTTTAGAAGATTTGGAAGATTTCGATCCAAGTCTTTCAAAATTAGCCGGCAAACAATTCATGCCCTTCGAACCTCGAGAAATTCCTTTCAAGATCACTGATCCATTAAACCGTTCACAACTACTTTCCGATTTTTCTAATATAGCATCAATCCTTCAATATAGAGGTAATAATACTCCAAAAAAGAGAGCTTTTCTAGCGGTTGATCAAAAAGGACGTGAGTCTGGTGATTTTACTTGGGAAAAATTGAATTCAAAAGCTGAAAGAATGGGTCAAATTATGATACGAGATAGTGGATTAATGGTGGGTGAAAGAGTTGCATTGATATATCGTAAAAATGAAATCCTTGACTTTTTAGTTGCATTATTTGGTTGTTTTTTCGCTGGTCTTGTAGCTGTACCAATTAATGCTGTTGAAAAATTTGATGAACTTTTATTCATACTTGATAGTTCAAATGCTAAATTAGTACTCACAACTAATAATAATTATAAAGTATTTACTCAAGATCTATCAAAACAACAAAAAGAATTACCAAAAAGTGTATTATGGTGGAAAACTGATGATTTTGGTTCAATGAAGAAAGGTGAAAAACTTGTAAAGTATAAACCTACAGATTTAGCTTACATTGAGTATACTAAAAGTCCTAATGGCGAATTAAAAGGTGTAGTAATAAGTCATAAAACTATATTAGCTCAATGTAAAGTAATGAGTGCAAGTGTTATGGACAATAAAGGTCGAAAACATGTGGGTGAAGGAAGTAAAGAAGCAAATATGTTGACACAAGATACTGTATTAACTTATTTAGAACCTAGGCAACAAATTGGGTTGTTATTAGGTGCATTATGGGGTGTTTATTATGGAAATTTGACTGTATTTTTAGCAAGTCTTGGGCCAGATACTCCAGGACTTTGGATTAATTGCGTTTCTAAATATCAAGGTAATTTATATTATTCTTAATTAATGAATATTTATTACGTATTATGAGTTGTATTATTATTATTATTATTTTAATCATCAATTATTTCTTTATTTAAAAAAGTAACAATCGCGTTAACAGATTATCCAGGTTTAAATCCGATAGTGACATCTTTTAAAAATGAAAATTCACAAAATACAAAATTTAAAAAAGACACTCCAAATTTAAGGTCGCTCCGATTATTATTAATAGATACATTAACGATTGATCCTATGATAAATGAAATTATAGCTGAAAAGTTTTTAATTCCATTAGGAATAAAATATCCACTAGATATAATAACTCCATTAATTAGTTTACCGGAACATGGAGGAATGATACTTAGTTTTGGTGATTTATTAGGTGTTAGAGGACTTGATGATCGTAATGAAGGGCAAAGAGGTGTAAAAGAATTTATTTTGAGCAGGGAAGGGTTGAAAGAAAATAAAATTGTTATATGGTCTGGCGAGGGTGAAAAAAAAAAAGATAAAAGGTTTATAAGAGTTGGTGCTTTTGGATTTGTAATGCCAGAAGGTACGCACTAATTATGATTTAATTACATGAGATCCTAACTTTGTAATACGTATTACATGACCAAATTGGTATTTAAACCTTATTTTATATAGCCACCATAGCAGTAGTAGATCCAGATACAAGAGCATTATGTTTTCCGGATACAGTAGGTGAAATATGGGTAGATTCGCCTTCACTATCTGGAGGATTTTGGAATTTAGCTAAGCATACCGAATCAATATTTCATGCTCGACCAATATTCGTACCTCCTGATACCTCAAAACCAGAATATTTTGAACAAGAATTTCTAAGAACCGGATTATTAGGTTCATTAATTAACGGACAATTGGTAGTATTTGGATTATATGAACATAGAATAAGACAATTTATTGAAATTAAACCGGTAGAAGTTCCTAAAAAATTAAAAGTAATTAATCGAGCGGAAGATGATAATGAAGATGGAAGTACTTGTAATGAGGTAGAAGAGGAAAAAAAACTGGAGAGATGGAAGTTTCATTATACATTGGATTTGGAAACTACTGCTAAAAGAATGGTTGAAGGCGTTTCCGATTGGTATGATTTTAACGGAACATAGTAATAATAATAATAATAATAATAATAATAATAATAATAATAATAATAACGATATTATTATTATTAATAGTTTATGATTGCAAAGTGAGATTAAAAAAAATTGGTATAAAATAATTAACTGTAACGTGGGATGTCGTTTAACTATATTGATATCCAACATAATTTATTATACTGAGTAAGTTATTACAAACTATCTTTGGTAACTATTTTTTAATCTCACTATATATTCGTTATTGTTTAATAGTTATTATTATTATTACTTTGTAATTCATTAAATATTTCAATTACATTCGGTTTTAGAAATTACTAATTTATATTCTCATTCATTTGGCATATATATTAACAGCATCGTGATAGAAATTTATATTAATGAACAAAGTTTAACAGTTTTAATAGCCGAAACAAATTTTTCTCTTGAACGTCTTCCAGAACTTGGGGACAACATATATGAAACTATCGATTCAATTCATGGTTTAAAATTATATTGTATTTCAATATGTCAATTAGGATCATTGCCAAGAATTTGGAAAAATGGCAAAAAATTATTAAATCCCATGTTATGTAAGAAAGCATTTGAGTTTGGAAAATTAAGTGTTATGCATGTTAGAATGAATGTTATAGATACTATTATTGATCTCCCAATCGGAGAAGATATTATTACCGGAGTTTGGGGACCAAGTAAGTAAGACATATTTGGTTAAGAAAGACAAGAAAATTATTTTTTGTTAATATTCAATGTATTACGTTTACATTTTTTTTTTGCGTATTTAGATTCTTCAACAGCTAGGCAAGAACTCACTAAAGAGTTATCGGTAATACGTCGTCCACAAGTAACGAGAGTAGAAAATCTTCAAGAAGTTATAGACGAACGTTCTGGGTCCAACATGTTAAAGTTTCGTAGTATAGTTGATGTCTTATTATGGAGATGTCAAGCGCTACCAGAAGAAGAGGCCTATAAATTAATAGATCGTACTGGGAAAGAAACAAAACTTCTTACCTGGAAAAAATTCTCAAACAAAATTGCCACAATAGCAAATTATTTACAGAAAAAAGGATGTAAAGCAGGTGATCATGCAGTATTGACATTTCAACACGGATTAGATTTTGTCGCTAGTGTTTATGCATGTATGATACTTGGAATTGTGGCAATACCTATGGATAAAATAGAGAATGAAAGAATTAGCGAAGATGTTCCTTCATTATTAGGAATAATCGATGATTTTAAAGTTTCGTGTATTTTGGTTAACGTAGATTCGGAATCCATATTTAAAGGAAGGACAATGCAAAATTTTCTTAAAGGAAATACTCAAAGCAAATCTTCGGGAGGACAACCTGGCAGTAATGTAGGATCAGTTAATGGTTTACCACCATTAATTAATGTGTCAAAAGCACCAGCGTTTAAAAAAACATTGAAAGAAGCTAATTATTCAATGCAAGAAGAATGGTTAAATTCAAACTGGGCAGCGCTAGTGATGTGTTATTTCAGTGCAGATCAACGAAGATATTGTGTAAAATTGGGGCATGATAATTTGCTATCATTATGCAAAGTACAAAAAGAAACATGTCGATTAACTAGTAATAGAGCCATATTAAGTAGTGTTAGGAGTTTTATGGGAATTGGCTTTATTCATACATTTTTGCTGGGAATATATCTTGGTATGATTTATTATTTGTTCTTCTTTTTTATATTATTATCATATTTTAAAACAACTTTATTCTTTATTTTAGGGACACTAACGATAATGGTTACTCCATATGATTATTCAACAAATCCACTAACATGGTTTGAAACTTTATCACAATATAAGAGTAAGCGGTTGTGTCATCCTTGTATACTATTTTAATTAAATAATATTTATCTTTTATTAATTAATACTTTGTTTTGTATTGCAACAAACTAAATAGTTAAAGATGTATATGCTACATTCCCAATGTTACAACATGCGATAACAGCATTTGAGAGTATTGATTATAGAAGTTTTTCACTTCATCATTTAAAAAATCTTATGATACCTGTTGAAACTAGGCCCAATGTTAATTTATGTAAGTTATATCAGAAATGTTGAGATAATTAATAATATATTATACGCTTCTAATTTTTTTTTAAAATTTTCATCACAATATTCAACAAAAACAGACAAAAAAATAGTTAAAACATTTTCAGAAAATCGGTTGGATAACATAGCTATAAACTATGTATACAGTCATATAGCAAATCCGATGATAACCACAAGATCATATATGTGCATTGAACCTGTTGAATTATATTTGGACTTAAAAAGCTTAAGACGAGGCATTGTTAAAACTGTTAATCCCGATGAACCTTTTGGAATATTGTTACATGACAGTGGAATGGTATGTTTTTACTTTTATGCAGTTAGTTTGATGTCATTCATTGATATATCAAATATTGAATATTTGATAAATACTAGGTACCAGTATCAACACAAGTAGCGATAGTTCACCCAGAAACACGACGTCCATGTCATACCAATGAACTTGGAGAAATTTGGGTATCATCAGATGCCAATGCAAAATCATCTTATGGTTCAAATGATCCTTTAGAACGAGCAAAATTTTCTGCGACTATCGAAGGCGGTGTTGATAAAAGACTATATTTAAGAACGGGAGATTTGGGATTTTTACACACAGTCCGTAGACCTACCAGAGATAATGGAGCACCGATAGAATTTCAATGCCTGTTCTTTTTAGGGCCTATTGCAGAAACTTTTGAAGTTAACGGACTAATGCATTTCCCCGTTGACATTGAGTTTACTGTGGAGCGGTGTCATAATTTGAGTTATCCTAGTTTGATTCCACCAAATGGATGGTATGTTATATATTTATTTATTTATTTATTTAAGAATTATATTTAGTATATATTATTCTCTAATTTAACATTATTATTATAATTTACAAGCGTGATATTCCAAGCTAATGACGAAACAGTTTGTACAATTGAAGTTCGATCCGTTGAAGGAATTTTAAATTTAGTTCCTTGCACAATAAGTTCTATATTAGATGAGCATCAATTTATTATAGATGTAATAGTATTCATCAATAACGGTACTTTACCGAAATCGCGATTAGGAGAAAAGCAACGAGCAAAAGTTATGGATAGCTGGTTACGTGGAACACTGTACGTACTATTCACATTTGCCACAATTATTTCTATCATTCACATTTACTATGATTATTTTTAATCTATTAATAACACAATATTATTATATTTAGACAAGCACTCCATGTTCACTATGTAAAGCCGTTAAAGTCTCGGCCAAAAGTCATTCCTCAGTTTCAACAGTCAAAAATATCAAATTCAAGAATATCTTAATGACATAATTTGCAACTTGATCATCATCAATATCAAAACTTGATAATAATGCTAGACAATACTTGTTAGAATAGTTGTTTATCGATTAATTGTATTTTATGATTTTTATTTACTATTTGTATCTCTTATGTGATTATATTATATATATAAATAAAATAAATCGAATTATTTCTTCTTAATAAAGTATATTCAGACATCTAATGTTCTCAAGGATATTAAAAAAAAAAAAAAAATTGGTTGACAATTATGTTCTCATGAAAACAAATTAAAAGATTCATTTGCCAGTATAGTGCATGAGGGAAAATTTTCATTGGCTGATTGTCGGTAATCCTGATTGGCTAAAAAATAAAAATGGATTTTTTTTTTTTTTTGTACTATTGCTATCGTTATACTTGTAATACTTAAACAAGCTTAAATAAGATCTTATTTTAAAAATCTACTTTCTAGCAATCTTTTGAAACGAGAAACGACGTTTGAGCGACTGTTTACTTGTGTAATATTACGTTCTTAAAATGTACTCTAAAACGTATAAATTAGTTACCCGGGCAATTGATTTACACTAGCAAATTAGACAAACTTCTGCCTATGAGAAATGAGCAAAATATAAGGCATCCAAGAAAACATTGTCCCAGTTATTAAGAGTGCAAGCAAAAAGGAAAAGATTCTAAAAATAATGCAGAAATAGACATAAATTTTAAGTATACGTACTTTATTCAGTAATTGAAGTGTACGTATTACAGTATTAACGAATCTATTAAAAATTTTAAAATTACGGACTGTCACATGCTCATCCGAAACGCACACATACAACATACGTTCCAATCGAACATATCCAGATATTAAACCCGGGCATTCTTTCAATTAAATAAAATACATCCAGTTACTTCATTTTACAGTATAGTTTGGTATAGCCTAGAGGTTTAACTACTGTCGAATTAAATTTTTCGACGTCATAAAAACCGCAAACCATAATGACTATTTCTTAACAAGTACAGTATAGCCTCGATATAACGATAACGAAGATTATTTCTAATTTTATGTTTAAATTAGCCCTGATATAACGAAACTACTAATAAGTTTTGATATAACGAAGCAAAACCTCCAGCTCCAGAGCTTCGTTATATCGAGGTTATACTGTAATTCAGTAATTATGACGACAGTTATACGTATTAACACTAACTGCATCAAAAACTCTAATTCGTACTTGGCTTTATTTAACATTTTCGCCAAAATTGAAAAATTCTTATATAAATTTAATATCAAATAAAGCATATATATTCTTTTTATGTATTCTAAATTCGCGATTTTATTAAACATTGTTATATAATAAATAACCTAAAGATTTTGCATCTCGACTATTAAATATATACCAAACTCAAAAAAAAAAAAATCCAAAGATAACACAAAGCTGAAAACCACCAAACATCGAAAACACTAACGATGATGCCAGAAAAATATTAGTATACGGAAGCATAAAAGCAAACAGTAAAAGCAAACAGTAAAAACAAAAGAAGCTACATACCACAAATAATTTACGATGCTAAATCGGCGAACAATGAAATAGTAAAAGCGAAACACCAACGACAACACCACTGAACGACAATATTAACAATCAACAACGATGATATTAATAAACGATATTAGCGTACATGAAACTAATAAAAGTAATAATAAAAATTAAAATAAAAATAAACAATAGAATACCAGCAAATGACGAAGTGTCAAAGTAAAATATCAATAACAACGGCAAGACTACCAACGACGAAAACGAAACGTAACACTAAAACATAAGCAAACTTTAGTAAAAAAAAAAAAAACCGATTTACTGTAAATAAAAAAAAAATTATACTTATATTTTTTTAATCGTATGGCCGAAAAAATCACTACCGGTTATTGATGCAAGTTAGTCATCAAACAGTTGTTCAATGTCCAGGCCACACCACGAGGAGGTTTGCATCTGTGACCCAAAAGGAGTTTAAATTGGGAATATTAATTTAAAAAAACCTAGTCTACAAAAAAAAATTAAACCAAATAAACGATTTTAAAAAGTGTATTCGATTATTATTTTAATTCATTTATTTTTTAAAATGATAAAATACGATACCGATAATGTACCATTATCGATAAAGTGATTCGCATTTTTTGGCCTCTGATAGCGAATCAATGGTAAACAAAGAGAGATATTTTGCAAAAGAAATTAATGCTACTAAGTGTGAAATGTGCCATCATCGTCTTTTAGATTGTCGACCCACAATCCAAAAAACTAGACTATATCACATTAGTGTGAAATGTATCATTATCATCTCTTAGATCGTTGGGCCACGATCTATGAGACTAGACTGTATCACACAAACCTTTCGCATTATATCTTATTACAGCATAACTTTACTGGTTTTCGAAAACAGGCCATAAAAAAAAGGAAAACTTTGCGACATTTGGCGGCTTTCCAAGAACTTCCTCAAGAAATTTTATGCATAAACATAGTAGGGAAGCTTAGAACTTAGTTTAAACTACTATGTTTAGAGGCCCTATCTGTGTTGGAAGGAGTACATCGCTCGAAAAATTTAATCGCAAAGTTGAAAAATAAGTATAAAGAAAACGGTCTTTAAGGGGTAGTTTGTAAAGTAAAAGAGGATACTTAACAAACGAGAAGTTAAAAGTACAATTACATAGGACGACCGATCAATAATTCACCCGGTCAGACCGGAACTATCGAAACGATCTAACTTCCCAAACCTATGCAAAGATGCAATGGTACAAAGAATAAAAAAAAAGTTAAAAAAAAATTGAAAATTAAAAAGTAAGAAAATTAGTATATATATATATGTATTGTATTATGTCTATCAATCAGATAAACAATGCATCCTATTGGTCGATTGTATTAGGGATTACGACATGTAGATCAAAACAAAAATAACGCGTACTATGTTTATGTACTCATGATTTTAATCATCATACCAACTAAGCAATACAACAAAGTATCACTTAGGTCGATTATGAGTTGTAGTAGAATTCTAAATTATACTCGAATTGTACAATGGATTCTAAATTATTTTTTCGAGTATATTGTTTTGGAATTTAAAGATGTTCTCAAGCATCCACCTTATAGTGATTGAATCAACATGTCCGGAATTGTGGCATGATTGTAGATCTACCCGTTCTTCCGGTGATAATTAACCAATCAAAATGCATAATTTCAATTAATATTACAGTACTAAAAACGAAAAAAAACTTCGTATAAAGAAGTTTACAGACAATAATATACACAAAAAAAATTTTATTATTTATATTTAGAGAATAGAATAGATAGATGCGTGTAAAGTGGGTAAATGTAATATTTATTGTTAATAAACCCAACTCATTACATTAAAGAATCGATAAAATATAACCCAAAACCTTAACTATTAATTTACGATTGACAAACCCAAACACACTAAAATAATCGACAAAATTTAATCTTAACCCAAGATTTTACCACTAAAGAGCTTGCAACTACATAAATTAACAGTTAGAAATAAAAGTTTGTTTAAATCTAAGGGAATTTACACATAGAGGCCCAAAAATGAAAATAATTACAGATGAGGGCCTAAAATAAAAATTCTTAAAACATAGCAGCCCAAAATCAAAAATTATTACAAATAAGGGCCTGTTCAGATCTCCGAGCTATATTAAGCGGACTAAACTACAAGATTTACATAGCACCGCTCAGAAAAAATAGTAGCCGGGTTTTTTGTAGGCTTACATATATAATGTTTAATACAGTAATGATTAGAACTTTGATTTTTATTTTGACCTTTGTTTTGACTTTCATTTGGTTTTCATTTTGAGTTTACTTTGATTTTCGTTTTGACTTTGACTTTCGCTTTGACTCTCTTTTGACTTAACTTTCGCTTTAACTTACATTTTGGCTTTTCACTATGACTTCGTTTGACTTTGACCTTCTCTTTGACTTTCACTTTTGCTTTGAGAATTTTTGCCGTGTTGAATTCACAAAAATATAATTTTGATCGATCGTTTAAATAAACTATTTAAGTTCATGAATATTTCGTGCTTTGCTTCTTATTTATTAATGTTAATTTATCTAGTAAATACAAAGTATTTTATGTCCAAAATGACTACGATATATTATATCTTTTATTCGTGTTATTTAGTTATGTATAAAAACCAGGTGAATGATCGGTCGTGTAACATCGACGTTTAGTAAATATAGAAGTCCTTTAAAGTATATAAATAAGTTACCCGAGCAATTAATTTACATCAGCCATTCAGACGATTGCCCTCCTATGAGATTTAAGAAATTTTTCATTTAAAAATAAATCAATATTATCATGTGATTAAATTTATAGTACAGCGAAATTCGAAAACCACGTGATCTTAATAATTCCGGCCAGAGTTATTGACTTGAAGCTTAATTCTAGCCAAAATCGAAATAAATCGAAATTTTTGCTCAAATTGGTCGAAATATTTGCTTTAAATCAAAGAATATTTCCGTGTCCCTGCCCGCGAGTGGGTGGGTAACCAAACTGAGATATTGCGGGTCACCCGTTAACCAACCTTCGGTGGCCTGTGGACTTTTCGAAATGGTAGATTGTCAGCGAATGTAAAAGATGAGCAAGGTTGTCGTAAAATTTCGGAACAGCGATTTTTGTTTTTTTTTAAGTTGATTCATCCAATTTTATATGGGTGATATATAGTTTACTCATCGGGTGACTTGTGTGGGGAAGACTTTCTAGTTGACCCGATTTCCACCGGGTGGCATGTGATCCATCCGTTAGGTGACCCAGATGGAGATTTTTAAATCACTAGTCCAAACAATTGAACCAAGTTAATTGTGGTCGGAAACTGGGGTGTTTATTTGTTAATGATTGTGAGTGATGTGCA